TTTGCATAGTCTCTAGAATATTAGGTCCTGCCTAAATTTTACCCCTTTGGATTTTCTTTTTTTGGTATGAAATAAACTGTCTTATTTGAGCAGATCAGAACTGCTGGCTGTTTTGGGGAGGTAACTGTTGCTGAAAGGTTCAAGATTAACTTACCCAAGGCAGCCCAAGAGACAGGGGTGAGTATGAGAATGTGGTCAAAAGCAGGCAAGGGGGCTCATCTCCAAATGACTGAAAAAGCTGCTGGCTGTGATCTGTGTGGACATGGAGGAACTAAGGCTCTGGAAAATGCCAGACTGGTGCAATGCAGGCATGTCCCAATTGCTTCACATTTTGTAACATCTGCTTTGGGTTGCTCAAGAGTTGTCAGTCTTTAACTTTGATTATAGGCAAAATTTGAGACACTTAATAATTTAATGGGGCTTTGTCTCTACATATGAGACATCACACCAAAGGGAGCAACATAATTTTTTTAAGGCAATAATTATAATATTTGTCCACTTGTGGTCACTCCTTGTGTCATACAGAAGTCAACCAGGCTGAAGGTCCTGTTAGCAGCTCCTATGGGAGGAACAGAATGAACATGAGAGCAGGAAGAGCAGATAAGGTGCCATGACTGAAGCAGTCAGCAGTACGGCCAAACGAGGGAGAACATAGGATTGAGGATGTGAGCCTGCAGTAAGTGTACCTTGTTATCTCTGGCACACTTGCAGTAGTGACTAGAGACCACCATAGAATCAGGGCTGTACAAACTCACAGGAACTTTATACTGTAAGTGCAATCAAATCCATACCCCTTCCATTCACAGGCATCCTTTTGTTCAAGGGAGTTGATGAGCCCTCTGTTCCAGTCCCTCACATACCAGTCAAAAAGCACCCTTTAAAAAACTTACAGCATGTTCCAGGGAAAGAGCTGAGCAAATATGGGCAACATTAACATTGTCACTTCAACGATAAAGAATTGTTAGAATTTGTCTCTAGCGTTGGCCAATGCCCTGTGCTTCAGAAGAAGGTGTAAGCAGCAAAAATCCTTCTCCTCCACAAAGCAAACCCCTCCCCCCTGCTAAACTAAAAACAAACAAAAAAAAAAAAATCACAAGAAGCCAAACAATGCAATCATGAGTGGTGATGGGGAATCCTGGGCTCCTACTGGTGACCAGTAGAGGCCCTAAAAGACAATCCTGGCCTGAAGGGCTTACAGTTAATAGACAAGACAGATGCAGGAAGGATTACTGTCCCAATTTTAGAAAGAGGGAATGGAGAGATTAAGCATCTGCCCAGCATCCCAACCGGAGTCTGTGGCAGAGCTGCAGACTGGACCTAGCTCTCACTAGTCCTAGCCCAACCAGTATAACTGAGGGAGACAGGCAAGTACAAAACTGCCCAGTTATGCCTGTTCAGGCCAGTGTCACAATCACAAGTCCATTCTTCCTCTTATGCATGTACATTCC